CCGGCGGCCCCGCTAGACTGCACTGTCCGCCCGGCGACCGCCCCGCGGAGCCCGGAGCGCGGTGCCCGGCCGAGGGGACGCTGCGGCCGGAGCGAGCGCGGCCGGACGGGGCCCCGCGCTGCCTCGGGACCGAGGCTGAGCCCTGCAGGCAGCCGAACAAGGGGGACACGGAGGCAACGGGGCTCTACGATCCACAGGTCTGTGTCGCGTTGGGAATCGATGGCCCCTGCGTGCACCTCGTTCTTCCCTGCAAAACGGCCCTTGGAATTGCAGCATTCCGCAGCCTCAGCCTTTGAAGCCTGTTAGAGCAGCACCGAAGCTGTGAGTTTGCTGGGACAAAGCCAGTCCTGGCTTCTTCACGTTTCTCTTTAAGCACGTAAAATCTTTTTTATGCCACTTCTGTGATGACAACAGGTGACACTGACAGACAAGCTCCTCTTTTAGGCACAGCAGCGAGAAGTTTTTAGCTTAGGAAGTTTGGAGCAATTGGTTTCTCTCCTGCCTCATTTCTGTAGTAAAAATAATAAAGTTGGTCATCGGATGGGGTATGTCCAACCGTGGACTCCCCCTGGACGCTCCAGGGCAAGCGCAGGGAAGGACACACCAGCTCCACTAAGACAAAGGGCCAGCTCCTTCAACCCAGGATTGTTTCCTTTAAGATTTTTATTCATAAGTTTTTGAAATATCAGAACCTGAAAGTTCTTATATCACTTTGGCAGTGTTTGTCAAAAATGGCAGTTCTCTTAAGATTACAACTGAATGTGCGTTTAAATCAATCAGTGTTTTAGGAATGGTAGAGATGTTTTTTCCCCCCCCACACATGGCAGGAATTAATTAGAATTTTTAAAACTGCAAATTGTTAATTATTCCTGAAAGCTTGAGGATTTCCCTGAAGTTATCTGATCAACTGATATATCTGCTTTATCATACAAACCTTTTGATAAGAAGGTAGATTTAAGTCAAAAAGACACAGACTTGGCAAGCAAAAGCAAACAACAACCAAGTCCAAGATACCATTTCACAACAACATGCTCTAAAATTAGCCGTGATTCAGGTTCCAAACTCAAAAACAATTCTTTATGCCCTTAATGGATCCACGTCAGCACCCCCGAAGCAGAGGAATGGCACGTCCCTGTGCCAGGTCACTTTCCTCTGGCGCTCTTCACCTGTCATTTAGAGCTGTGTACCTTAATGCCTTTAGTGTCCTCTTCATCAAAGGAGCCAATATCAAAAGCATCTGCTGCATTTACTTCTCCCCGGGGAGGAATCAATGGTGGAGGATACTGGAAATAAAAGTAGCATAATTACAGATAAATTAATGTACATTATTTAATCTACAGACAAATAGGTCCTTTCTATTGTTACACACATTATACGCGACTGCATAACAGAATGTCACTTGAAATTAAATTTCAGTACAAAGTAGTTCTCCATTCTTTCAGTAGATCTTCCTTATTTTTTATTTATTTATTTAAAAAAAAAAAAAAGAGAAAAGAGAACTAGCTTAGAGAACCATGCAGCAGAAACAAAGCAGCTGTTTGATGGCAAGTAGCTGCGCTGGGGACAGGAATCTCCAAGTTTTCTATTCTGCTCCCTGCACAGGCTTCTTTACTGCTTTACTATGAAGCTAAAGTTATTATTTCAATCCTTTACCTTCTGCAAATAGACTTGCTGCCAATCGATCCCTTTGAAGAAAGGATGCTCTTTTACTTCTTGTGCACTGCAAAATAAATTAACCGAAGTCAACAAAATGAAAGGGCTTTTCAAAAACATTTGAGAAACTCAAAGCTTTCAAAGGTCAAGCATTTACACCACTTGAAAACATCACTAAAATACTTTGTTTTTTTATGTAAAGCATACAAACAAAAAAAAAGCACACAGAAGAAGACTAATATGGAAGCAGTGCAAGTAGTGGTGCAGGTCTGGGAAGCTAGCACACTCGTTATTCCATGACACACCATTTCTTCAAAAGACAGACACTACTCCTCTGTTGTCAGATTCTATGGGTTAATTCTAAGCAACATGCTCACTCCACTGCATTTGATATCATACTTATTTTATAAGCAAAATAAGCAACTATCCTCAATAGGCCTAAGCTAGAAAAGTAATCTCAGACTTGGTGATTATCATCAAGGAGCCTGTGATATAAAAACCTCCAAATATATCCCTGGAAGAACCTTGCACCATCTTCCGTATGACTGACTGTTACTCAAGAGGTATCACACATTGCCAACAGTTTCTCAACAGTTGTTTACTCCTCTCTCAGTTTTCTTTCCTGACCTCACATCAGGCAAATATTGCTTTTTAAATAGGTGTCAGCAACACCTTAGAGACTCGTGGCAATGACACTGCTTCTCTCCGAATACAGGAGGTAATAACATTTGCTATTTGAAGTAGAGGCAGCCCAAAATGAAGCAAGTACGTGGGGCTCTCTGGGAACCTTTTGGGGAATAACTCCTACCATTACAGCTGCAGCAACACAAATAATAGTTTTAGCTATCGTTACACCAAATCAAGTAGCACAACTTCATGTCAAAACAGATCAGGTAAAATAACACAAAAACTGAACAGAGGTGAAAAGTACTAACATCCATAATAAGATATAAACACCCCCAAAAATGAACATGATTGCAGAGAACTGAATGGGAAGAGAGAAGTGTCTTTAATGACAGAATTTTGTAATGTTTCCACAATCAAAGCAAGCTCAAATGCAGTATTATGCAACTGCACTTCTCAGCGTTTTCTTTCCTAAAGTAAAATTATCGGGAAGTTGATTTTTACTTCATATTAAGTCACACACTGTAAAAAAAATAAATGTTTTTAAAGTTACAGGTGCAAGGAGGAGAAGACACCTACCTTCGCCCTTGGCAGCCAAGTCTCTTGCTAACATCCCGCTGCAGAAGCCCTTCCAAAAGGGACTTCAGTTCAGGAGAAAATGAATCTGGTAACTCCACATTCTACGAAAAAAATAGTAGTACAAAAAAGGCATTAAACTACAGAAGTATTTTGATCTGCTTTCATCACATAGGAAAATAGCTTTTCTTTAATAGCATTTGTAAGCACTACCCTTGTGCGTGTGTGTGTGTAAGTACAGCTCTTTCCCAGAAAGCAGGTCATGAATAAATACACGGACTTTTTGTCAGAACTGCAGTTTACTACACAAGAAAAACCTAATTGTAACTGCCACCAAGCTCCTTACCACGGTGAGCGTCATCCGGTCGATCTCATGCTTATCTTTGGTTTTGTGTTGTCTGAAAGGACTGTGTCTGTGGAAATAAGAAAATGCAATAATAAATGTAAAGCCATAACGTATTGGGTTACATCAGCAGCGGCAACCCCAGCAAAGTGGGGAGCATCCTTTTAATCCCGTTCTGCCACCTCATCAATCCTGCCCTGCAGGACAATAACACATGAAATGAAACACTTAGCACTGACAATGGAAATAGACTTCACACTAACATATAGTTCAACACTGTGCCTACTAGTCACATCTTAAAAACATCATTGCTTAAATTCTTAACACTTTGTTTTCCTTTCTCACGTGAAACACTTAGCACTGACAATGGAAAAATAGACTTTTCACACTAACATACAGTTCAACACTGCAGCTACTAGTCACATCTTAAAAATATCATTGCTTAAGTTCTTAACACTTTGTTTTCCTTTCTCACCGCAGAAAGCTGTGCCACTGGGGAGAAAAAAAAAAAAAAAAAAAAAGCAGCGCATCCTTCCTGTTTGCAGCACAACTGCATATGGTGGACATGAACATCAGACCCAGAGAAGAGCAACCTTTTAATGCTCTTCCGGATAGCATAGAGATTTACCTAGCAGTTCATTAATTACCTATTGTAATGCATTATTGTATTACTCCCTGACACTATTTTATTTACTGGCTTATTTCACTGGTGACCTGCTCCTCTGGAGTCATTTCTTATTTGTCCTCCAACTGCCAGACCCAGAGAGGAGCAACCTTTTAACTCTCTTCCAGACAACACAGAGACTTACCTAGCAGTTCATTAATTACCTATTGTAATGCATTATTGTATTACTCCATGACACTATTTACTGGCTTATTTCACTGGTGACCTGCTCCTCTGGAGTCATTTCTTACTTGTCCTCCAACTGCATCTGCACAATAGATCTGTTGCACAGACCAGGACTGCATTTTTCTGTTTTTAAGGGCGCTAGGTAAGGAGGCAAGAGTAAATTGCCTCAGTAAATGGAGAACGTGGTCTCAGATACTTAGACAAGAGGCTCTGACAAGACCAGGAAAGCAAATGATTGACTGCAGACTTACTGCCAGGACTGGGACTGCCTACGTTTATCAAACACTGAGAAACAGCACTGCACCCTGCCCAGCGCTCTGCAGGGAGACCAGGGCTGCTGCTCCCAGCAAGCAGCTCCAAGCACATGCAGGAGGAACCCTACCAGCCAGGGGGATGCCCTAAGGCTGTGTCCAAGGGACTCAAAGGGAAAAGCACCCAAAACAGAAGTCGAGGAGTCCCCTGTGATCTCTTCTGAACTGCTCTTCTCTCCTCCCAGCAAACCCGAGCTGTTACACAGCTTGCTACCTTCAAAATGCTTCAGTGAGTGATCAGAGAGCCAGAGTATTGCTCACAGCTGCACGATGCTGTCCATAGTTCTCAATAGCAAAGAAAAAAAAAAGTATTTAAACACTACTACTTTATTTATTGACACACACAACTTCAATTATTCTGTTAAAAAATAAATGTTGAATTGATACAATCTTCTATTTTGATTTGGATACAGACTTACTTTCCTTTGTATGGTGCCCAAAACACATAAAGGTAAGACTTTATAATTAATTATCACTTATTACAAGGACACAGAAAAGGCTAATGCTGAGAAACATTTACAGAGAAGTCTGAAAAACCTTCAAAGATTATTTCTGGTTTACCAATAACGTTGAGGAAGCTATTTTCAAGAAACACTTGCCAACCACTACCTGTTGACCATTCAGATGAATCTGTTACACTTGTAAGTTTACCGATGACATAACAGTTAACAAAGCTGGTTTTTATACTTTCACACACTAATACGTTCACATGGCCAAAATTCTGTAGCTGGAAGCATCCACACATTACAAAAAAACAAACAAACAAGAAAACAAAACAAAACAAAAAAAACACAAAAAATTACTCGAGAACTACAGAAGCAAAGATCAGGTACCATGCTAAAAAAGGGAATAATGCAGCAAAGTCTTTTCACCATGAGAAAAGATCCTAAGCACAAAATGAAGTTCCTAACCCAAAAGGGCAGCTAGCACAGTTAAGCAATGAACACCAACATCACCACATCTAAAACCCTGCGCTGTGGGTTGCCCATCAGGAGAAACCATGGGAGACACCAGGCCTGGAGGGCTCCTGCCTTCCTGGGCGCCCCAGCCGTGCGCCTGCTAAAGGAAGTGGCGCTTGCACCCTGGTTTGCTTTAATCCTTTGTTTTGGAAGCAAAACAGGTGTATCTGGGGCTCGGGTGTGGTATGGGCTTCGGGCACGTGTTAACAACAGGCAGCAAAGCAGGTGGAACCTGGACTCACCCTCTCAGCAGCTTGAAAAGCATGCAGCCCAGGGAGAACCAGTCGGCGCTGCTGTCGTACGCGGTGCCCTTCTGGAGCACCTCCGGGGCCATGTAGCCGTGGGTTCCTCTGCGGAGCAAAAAGGAAAACCCTCATTAGGATCAGAGTAAATATATATTTTCTTAAGAAGAAAAAACTCAACCAACTTAAAAAGCATGAATTCTTAACAGCATTGTTCTTTTGCTTTTCCTTTGGCCTCACATGCATATTCATGTTTTCTGTCCCCATAAATCTATAGAGGCAATGGGATACCTTAAAACAGAGGCAAGAGGGAAAATTAGACAAACTACAGCACCTGCTTTTACCCTCTGCTTGATTTGAAAGCATAAACTTTTCCAGAAACTACTGTAGTGTCTTTTTAATGACAGGGACAACCTTTCTTTTTTGCATATGTTCAGAGACTAAATCAGGGCAAACAAGGACCTAAAGACATAACATGTTGGAGAAGTTATGGAGTCCACATGTGACACACCCAGGTCAGATCCCTGTTAGGACCTGATGGCAGGAGATAGAAAGAGATTGGGTTTGGGGGACGGAAATTGTCTGAAGTTACAGAAAAATTCAGAAAGATAAAATAAACCCTGGTTTTTAGTCAGCTTTGGAATATTTAATTATCCATTTAGGACAATTAAAACAAATGTGAACTTTAACTCAGTCAAGTTCTTATCTTCTCTGAACAATGAATCATCTCGAAATAATGTGTCATCTTCCAGCCATGCCCACACAGCAGCTGCTACAACTGCGCAGGAAAGCACAAAGGGAGACTGAAAAACCCTGTAATGCTTCCAGTAAAGCTTTGTTACAGAGAAAGCCTATGCCATACAAGTGTTATTTTCCTTTAGGCAAAGTTAAATAATAAAAAATATGTAAAGAACTTATTTAGCATTAATTTTATGTGCAACAGAGCTTGCTTAATACTTACACACTTGCATGGGGCTTCTTTTTGGAAAAATCGCAGGCCAGCCCGAGATCTGATATTCTGACGTGCCCGTGTTCATCCAATAGGATATTTGCAGGCTGGAATTGCATAAACAGAGAAGGAATACAGCTCAGGATTTTCCCCTTGATGACAGTAAAAACCCCCAAAGCACCAAAGCAACAAGCTCAATCATCAATACCCTCTGGATTGCTACTGTTATTAAAAAAGAAAACAAAAACACGTCTTTCAAAGTCAACGCACCAAACACTTCATAGCCAATATCTACACCACTCTAGCAGAGCGATGCTCTTCAGTTCCATGCAAAGCCTATGAAAATCTGAAAAGCAACAGAAAAGAGAGAGACAGGGCTCAAAACATGAGGTTTTGCTTTGAAGAGCAGGACTGACATGGCCTCGAGTCCTCCCGAATGGAGGCGAATTTACTGAACGGGATTCACCGTAACACGACCAGCCAAGCATCTTCCAGGCCTGCTGGACTGGGAACTAACAAATTAGAGCCATGTTCAACAGTTCCTAGGAATTCAGCCAAAAGGCAGAACACAGACTCTCGATCCTTGCCAGGAGAGGATTCAGGTAAAATGCTGGGCGTACACAAGAGCTGCCTTTATCGGCCTTTCCGCGTTGTTTGTGGCTATCTAACAACCATCCGTGCAAGCAGAGGCCCTGCGTTAACCATTACCTTTAAGTCTCTGTACACGACAAAGCGATTGTGCATGTGTTCTAAGCCCAGGATGATTTCAGTAGCATAAAACCTCATTTCTTTTTCAGAAAACACTCCATGCTGGGAGAGGTGGTAGTGCAAATCTCCTCCTAAAATTAGAGGAATTGGGACACAATTAGAAGAGGAGTAAAATCTTCCTGCACTGAGGGGTGGCAAGATACAGAATGGGGGGAAAAGAGCAAGTGTGGGGTAGTGGGGAGCAGAGTAATTGCAGGTTTTAATAACCAAGCACAAGCGGATTCAGGTGCTGGATTCAAGTGCTTGCACATTCAGCCATGGGCAGGAACACTCTGCAAGAACATCCCCTGACCAAACACCCGAGAAATTAAAAATGATCAGTGTGGAACTCCATTAAAAACACATTGACTTTGTCCCTGTTTGCATTTAGTCAATGACCCAGCAACTGAGTCTTAATGGAAGGGATTTTCACAGCAAGTAAACTGCAGTCATAGACACAAATTTCTGCAGAACTGAATAAATTAACACGTACAAATATTCACACTGGGGATGTTCTCACACTTTTTAAATCAAAGTATAGAGACAATGCAACATCACTCCATGAGCTAAGCCAAACCACCAGCACGAGGAAGAGCGAATATTCCGAGAACACAGTTTCTGATCAAGCTATGAATTTAAAATAATCAACCAATTATTTGAATTTGACCTACTGCTTAGCTTTTAATGAGATTCCTCAAAGGCAAAACATCAAAGCCGGTGTCAATTGCTTGCAGGATCTGAGTCCTATTTCTCCATCTATTTTTTCACTTTGCAGCATGGATATGTAAATATATTCCAGCATCCCTAGGAGCTCCCTGCAGGACCACTGCCAGGGTTCAAGTGGGAGCATCCCACGGAGCATCCTCTGCAGCAAGAGCTTCTCTCAGCACTGCCAATCACCCTCCCTGTGCCTTTTCCTCAGAGCTATTCCAAAGCTTCTGGAAATCCACCTTTCCTTTGGTGGATGCTTCCCCCAGCTATTTCCTTTGCAGCGCTCTTTAAATTAGCACTTTGCTTTTGTACCTGAATATTCTAGCACCTAAATCTGCTCATACCTTTCTCCATGTGACCATTCTTTCCCTGAGCATCCAGCCTAACAGCTCCTCTTAATTTAAATGTGCTAATGTTAGAGAAAGGGAGATGTTTCAGCCTGCTCTGCAGATCCCTGGTCTAGGTCCCTGCTCTCAGGTGGGTGTTTTTGGATGCTGCGGTCTCCCCCCATCCCGCTCACGATCCCAGCGTGGCCCTGGTCACCGTTCCTGTGACACTGCCCTGTCACCAGCCCCACTCACCATTCATCAGGTCCAGAATGAAGCAGAGCTTGTCCGGGGTGTGGAAGGCATAGGTCATACACACTATAAACGGACAGTCCTAGCAAGGGAACGAGCAAACAGTTTATATCGAGTGATAAACAGATTACTATTTACAGGACCTAAAAACATGTTATATTTTCCTATGGTATTTGCCAATATTCATAACAGCTTGTTAAATCATGTGATGCTTCACATACAGTTTAGAGGTCTTAAATTTGCCATCAGGTTTCATTTTGAAAATAAAAAACAATAAATCAAAGACAAAAAGAAATGCAGGTGGCATAACTAACCTCTAAAGACTTCCAGCTGCAGAATATAAGATATTCTGAACTACTTACTTGAGCTAGTACCAGATTTAAAGGAAAAATACATTAAAAGGAACAAGTTTTATGGCAGCTCAGAAAAATAAACAATCCTCTTCCCATGAGAAGATACACATGACTTTCCCAAGGGCAGAGAAAATGTTTAGGTTTTGGATCACTAATCAAGAATCTGAGCCACCTAGTGAAGGAGATTCCAGAAGCAATGCCAAAGGGAAGACACCTGCATCCTCACGGCCTGTTGGACCGGGGTGCAGGGACAGCTCCCGAACGGGGCCGGGGCCGGTCGGGCTCCGCAGCGCCGGGTGCTCCGGGCAGCGCGGACACCCCGGGAGCAGCAGCCATCCCGGGAAGCAGCAGCTTCCATTGCCTCCTCTTAGTGCAGTTAACCCCAGTTCACACAGGTGTTGGTGGCTGCAGCCATTAAAGAACACGGTGGGAACGCCCCTCGTTAGTGCTAACGAGCTGTTCCCGTGCCCACACACCTGGAAGGCAGGTGCACGAAGCGGGGCAGGCAGCAGGGCCACAGATCTTGGCTATGGCAATGCTGAGCCCGTGTCCGGGCCTGGTTCTGCTGACACGCTCGGAGCCAGGCTGTGCTACCAGAACAACCGGACCGAGCCGGGACCGCCGGGACGGGAAGGGG